CTGCTGTGGCGGCGCCTGCTGCAGCAGCACATTTCGCAGCTCCTGCTTCTGTAGATGCCACTCTGGTACATCAGCTTCTTGTCCTGCTGCTGCTGCTGCTGCTGCTGCTGGCGGGTTGCTGTTCCCACAGAAACTGAAGCAGAGAGAAGGCTCTGCTGCTGCTGCTGCTGCTCCCGCATCAGCTGCTGCTGCTGCAGCGCGAGTCGGATCTGCAAAGCTAAAGAAAAGAGACGGATCTCCCGGGATTGCCACTGTTGCTGCTGCTGAAGCTGTTGTTGCTGCTGGAGCTGCTACTGCTGCTGTTGCTGCTGCTGCTGCTGGAGCTGCTGCTGCTGGAGCTGCTGCTGCTGCTGCTGCTGCTGCTGGAGGGCAGCTCGCGCGCTGGGGGGGACTGAGGGGCTCCTCCAAAAGTGAGAGGGCCTTTGCTTCGCAGCTGCTGCTGCTCGTCTCTGCTGCTGCTCTGCTGCTGCTGCTGCTGCTGCACCTGCTGTCTCTGCTGCTGCGGCTGCTGCTCCCGCAGCAGCAGGAGCAGCAGAAGCCGCAGCAGCAGGAGACTGGCGCGGCAGCCAGCTTGCTGCTTCTCTAACTACGGGAAACTCTGCTGCTGCCGCTGCAGTTTCGATGTCTGCTGCAGCAGCTGCAGCTGCTTGCTGCTGCTGCTGCTGCTGCTGCTGCTGCTCAGCAGCTGGGGCTGCCCGCCGCAGCCGAATAAAACGTGGAAGTGGAGAGTTTGTTGCAGCAGCAGCAGGAGGGACAGCAGCAGCAGCAGCAGCAGCAGCAGCAATAGCTGGAGTGTCATCTACCTGGCTGTCGTTGCTGCCACTGCTGCTGTTGCTGCTGCTGCTGAGACCCAAGGGATTTGTACTACAAGGAGATTCTCTTGCAGCAGCATCTGCTGCTGCTGCCCTTGTTGCTGCCACCTCATTTGCTGCTGCTGTTGCTGCTGCTGCCTCCAGCAGCACGCCTCCCGTTGCAGTGGTTGAGCAGCTGCCAACTGAGTCTCTTGCGTATGCAGTATCAATAGCAGCAGCAGCAGCAGCTGCTGCTGCTGCTGCTGCTGCAGTATTGCAGGATTGCTTCAGCTGCTGCTGCGCTGCTGCTCTGCAGGTGGTGTCAGTACACTCCACGCTGCCTGCTGCTGCTGCAGGCCGACCCAGCGGCTTCTGCTGCTGTTGCTGCTGCTGTTTGCGTTCCTTTTGCTGCAGCAGCAGCTGCTGCTCTTCTGCTGCTGTTGCTGCTGCTGTTTGCGTTCCTTTTGCTGCAGCAGCAGCTGCTGCTGTTGTTGCTGCTGCAGCTGCTGCTGCTCCATTTCCGAGATGCTGGCATGCATGCGGAAAGTCATGGCCTTGCGGAGACTGCTGCTGCTGCTGCAGCTGCTTGCATATCTGCTGCTGCTGCTGCTGCAACTGCTCGCGTACCTGCTGCCGCTGCTGCTGCTGCTGCTGCTGCAGGTATCCTCACAAATAATGCGCGTATGAAGAACGCGGCTTACTAAAGAGAGGCCAGGGGCTGCTGCTGCTGCTGCTGCTCCTGCTGCTGCTGCTGCTGCTGCTGCTGTCCCCGCCTTAGTTGCTGCTTCTGCCGTTGCTACTGTTACTTTTGCAGTTGCTGTTGCTGCTGCTGCTGCAGCTGTCAGGTCCCCTGCTGCTGCAGGAATGGCAGTCACCGGCGCTTCCTCAGCAGCAGCAGCAGCAACAGCCCTAGTAGCAGCAGCAGCAGCAGTAACAGCAGCAGTGGCAGCAGCAGCAGAGCCACTTGGTGCACCACCTTTTGAAAGAGATGCTGCAGCAGGTAGCGGTGCTTTTGCTGCTTCCGTTGTGTCATTTGTCGCAGCTTCTGCTGCTGTTCCGGCTGCTGCTGCTCCAACTGCTGCTGCTTCTGCTGCTGCTCCAGCGGCAGCAGCAGCAGCTGCTGCTGCCCCATCTGCTGCTAGTGGGACTTGTGCTGCAGCCGCTGCTGCTCCTGTCACACGGGGCAGCAGCTGTTCGCCGCATGGCTCTGCCCGCTGCAGCAGTTGCGGCTGCTGCTGCTCGTGCAGTGTTTGCTGCTGCTGCTGCTGCTGCTGCTTCACTTCCTGCTGCTGCTGCTGCTGTTGCTGCTGCATGCGGTAACTCGCATAGGCTTTGATCGTAGTGACTCCCACCCAGGGAAGGTGCTCGACTGTGCGGCAGCTGATGATGCTGCTGCTGCTGCTGCGGCTGCTGCGGCTGCTGCTGCTGAATTCGCTGCAGGCGTCGCTCGCCCTGCTGCAGCAGCTCAATGCGGGCAAGCCTGCTGCTGCTACAGCTGCAGCAGCAGCAGCTGCTGCTGCTGCTGCGAGGGAATGCTGTAGAGAAGAGTCCTGCCCTTGCTGCTGCTGCTCCTGTATACTAGAGTTGGCAGCACTGCAGCAGCCCGTGCAATTGTTGCTGCTGCTGCTGACGAACGAATCGCTGCTAAATACATACTGCCGCTGCTGCTGCTGCTGCTGCTGCTGCTGCTGCGGTTCTTGATGCTGCTGCTGCAGATGCAGATGCAGATGCTGCTGCTGCTGCAGCTGCAGGTGCTGCTGCTGCTGCAGGTGCAGGTGCTGCTGGAGTTGCTGCTGCTGCTGAACCTTCAGATCTGTCTTGGCCAGCTTGCCCCCGAAGTCAATGTCTTGGTGTCGCTCAAATTCGTGCTGCAGTGCAATGCTGTGCTGATGCTGCTGATGCTGGAGCAGGTGCTGCTGCTGCTGCTGCTGCAGCAGGAGCGGACCCCAGGCAGCACAAGCCCGCGGCATTTTCAACAGCAGCAGCAGCAGCAGCAGCTACTGCTACAGTTTGCTGCTTCTTGTGGCTGCTAAGTCTTCTGTTCCACCAGTGAGAGCAATGCTAGTGTTGCTGCTGCTGCAACGACCCCACCCCTAGCCACCACCCCTACAGCGACACCGCTGCTGCTGTTGTTGCTGCTGCTGCAGCAAAAACTAAATGTAACCCTTAAATACTCCGCTTATTGCGTCTCAAAGAGCTGGACAACTGGTGCTGCTGCTTGGCTTCTTTGTCTGTTGATGCCGCTGCTGCTGCTGCTGCCGATTGGCTGCAGCCGAACAGCCCCACCTGTTACGAACTTGCTGCTGCTGCTGCTCAAACCAGCAGCAATAGCAGCAACAAAAAAGCTAAATTTCTATAAATTAAAGCCCGTGCTAGGTTGTTGTCTCTCTTTGCAGCTAATTGACTCTAAGTTCCCCGGCTCCTGCCGCTGCCGCTGCTGCTGCTGCTGCTGCTGCTGCTGCGACTGCTGGTCACCGTGTCTGAGCCGTGTGCGACAGCCGCAGCAGCTGCTAGCAACACCTGGCGTCAGCTCGTGCTGCAGCTTATCTGCTGCGCAACATGCTGCGGGATTAGCAGCAGCGAGCTATAATGGGGCCTCCTGGGACCAGCAGCTGCGGCAGCTGCAGCAGCAGCGGCAGCTGCAGCAGCAGCAGCTGCTGCAGCAGCAGGAATTACCTAGTGCCGCTGCTGGCTGTATTCGGTGGCGCAGCTGTCATTCGCTATGTGCTGCACATTAGCCTAGCTGCGCCCAGCAGTTTGCTGCTGCTGTACAGCAGCAGCAGCAACAGCAGCAGCAGCTTCACCGAGGCAATCGCAAGGGAAGAAGTGGGGCTCTCTCCTTTTGCTGCTGGGCTGTACACTCACCTGCCACCAGTGTTTGCGCTTTTAAAGACACTCACTGGCTGCAGCAGCAGCAGCAGCAGCAGCAGCAGCAGCAGAAAAGGTAGCAGCAGCTGTGAATTCAAACTTTTCCTGCTGCATTTGCTCGTCGACCTAGCAATTGCTGCGGCTCTTGCTGCAGCAGCAGCTTTGCTGCAGCAGCAGGATGCGGAGTCGTTGCAAGAGCCGGAGCAGCTGGAGCAGCAGCACCAGCAGCAGCTGCAGCAGGGACTGCAGCAGCAACGGCCTGCTGCGTTGATAGAGGAGCAGCAGAAAGAGCAGCAGCAGCAGCAGCAGCAGCAGCAGCAGCAGCAGCAGCAGCAGCAGCAGCAAATAGTCAATGGTGGCCTCTTCTCGACGCGTTTTATAACCCCTTTTCTTGCTGCTGCTTTCTTCCTTTTCCACCCATACACCGTCAGTCAGTTCTGCTGCTGCTGCAGCTGACTGTCAGTCAGTTCTGCTGCTGCTGCAGCTGCTGCTGCAGCAGCTGCTGCAGCGGCTGCTGGACCCTGTCCATGCTGCTGCTGCTGGTGCTGTAGCAGCACGTTCCCATGCTGCTCATCGCCTGCAGCTGCTGTTGCTGCTGCTTCTTTTGTCCGGTGTCTTGCTGCTGCTGCTGCTGTTGATGGCTGTTTCTGCTGCTGCGTCTGCTGCTGCAGTTGGTCGGGGCCCTTGCTGTGTCTATGCACCAAGTGCCGCTGCTGCTTCTTGCTGCTGCCATCGTAGCAGCTGCTGCTGCATCAAGGGCAGCAGCAGCAGCACACGCAGCAGCAGCAGCGGCTAAAACGGCACCGAAGACGACAGCACCCGAGCAGCAGCAGCAGCAGCAGCAGCAGCAGCAGCAGGGGCTGCAGCAGCAGGCGCAGCGTTGTCGCAGCGCATGTCAACTGCGGCTGCAAAGCCTGCTGCTGCGGCTTTGCTGCTGCTGCTGCTTTGCGCTGCTGCTGCTGCTGGGCCCCCCGCAAGCATTTGCTGCTGCATTTGCTGTCGCAGCTGTTTCGAAACATGGGCTTCTTCCTATGCCCCGTAAACCCTAAACCCTAAACCCTTAACCCTAAACCCTAAACCCTAAACCCTTAACCCTTAACCCTAAACCCTAAACCCTTAACCCTTTTTGTTCTGCTGCAAGGAGGGCGGGCTTGACGTGAGCAGCAAATTAAATAATAGGTTTAAGGGAAGCAGCAGCTAGGGTTGGGGTTTAGGGTTTGGGGTTTGTGGCTGCAGCAGCAAAAGCAGCAGCAGCAAGTGCTGCTGCAGCAGTGGGGCGCGGGTTTGTCTTCCTTGTGGGGACAACAGCAGCAGCAGCATGCATCCTGTGCGCGGTTGCTGCTGCAGCAAAGTGGGATATGGTAAGCACAGCAGCAGCAGCAGCTGCTGCTGCACAGTAGCAGCAGCAGCAGCAACTGCTGCTGCTGCATGCTGGCAGAAGCAGCAGCAGCTGCTGCAGCAGCAGCAAAGATTACTTTGCTGCGACTTTGCGCAGCATTTTCTGAGGGCTTGCTTCGCCCCACAGTGGCAGCTGGAGCCCATAGAGCCGGGCATGGGGGTTTCCTGGTACCTCCTCACCCTGGTAAACCCTAAACCCTAAACCCTAAACCCTAAACCCTAGCTGCAGATTACGGCCAAGCAGCAACCCGCAGCTGATTTCCTGAGCCCTGGCCAAGCCCCGGGCTTTCCTCCAACCCTATGGAGGCCTTTGTCCGTCGGCCCAAAACTTGTCCCTAAACCCTAAACCCTAAACCCTAAACCCTCGTGCTGCTGTGGGAGATTTTCAGGTCTTTGATCGCTACCGTTCCATCTACGTGTTTGCCTTCCAGGTGCGGGTTGGAATTTAGGGTTTAGGGTTTAGGGTTTAGGGTTTGGGCTCGCGGGTTTGTTTCATTGGGGTGAATAGCCCCTCTCACGCTGCACCCAGATTCACGCCTAGGGTTTAGGGTTTAGGGTTTAGGGTTTAGGGTTTAGGGTTTGGCTCTGCTCAGGCTCTTTCGTTCGTGCTAGCAGTGCCTCTTGCGCTAGGGTTTGTGGGAAACCCTCTGGCTCACTGCCAGGCAGTTGTTGCGGTGAATGTTTGGTTCTAAACCCTAGCTCTAAACCCTAAACCCTAATTCCAAACCCTAAACCCTAAACCCTAATTCTGACCTCAAGGCCCAGCACGCAGCCTCAAGCTGTAGCCCTAGCTACCAACCCCAGCTGTAAACCTGAAAATTGCTTCAAAACCCTAAACCCTAGCGCTTAGCTCTAAAGGGTTTTTCTAAACCCTAAACCCTAGGGTTTAGGGTTTGTGTGCTGCTTCTTCAGTTGATGGTCCTTTTCCAGCAGAGCCCGAGCCTTACGGACTTTGCCTTCCTCCAGGTACTCCCTGCTGCTGCTGTTGCTGCTGCTGCTCTCGCTGCTGCTGCTGCTGCTATCGCTGCTGCTGCTGTCGCTGCTGCTCTCGCTGCTGCTGCTTCCGCTGCTGCTGCTGCTGCTGCTGCTGCAGCTTCTGACTCTTAGTGGTATTGTGTTTTAGGTTTTGCTGGCTTTTCACTGGCGGAGTCTTTACCAGCGTGTCGCCTTTTCAAAGCTAGTAAAGCCCTCATATCACCTGCTGCTGCTGCTGCTGCTGCTGCTGCATGCAATGTTACTGCTGCCGCATGCAGTGTTGCTGCTGCCGCATGCACTGCTGTTGCTGCCGCTGCTTCTACTGCCGCACGCACTGCTGCTGCTGCTGCTGCATGGACTGCTGCTATTGCGTGGACTGCTGCTGCTGCATGGACTGCTGCTGCTGCATGGACTGCTGCTGCTGCATGGACTGCTGCTGCTGCGTGCACCGCTGCTGCTGCAGGTCGGGCTAACGGTCTTAGTTGCTGCTTTAATTCCAATTGGGTTTTCCCTGTGGATAGACAGGGGATCTTCTCCCCCCAACGTCGCCTACGCGCTGCAGTCGCTGCACCATATGTTCACATGTAAGCAGCAGCAACAGCAGCAGCAGCAGCAACAGCAGCAGCAGCAACAGCAGCAGCAGCAACAGCAGCAGCAGGAGTAACAGTAGCGCAGCTGTAGGAGCAGCAGCAGCACTAGGAGAAGCAGCAGCACTAGCAGCAGCAACTAGACTTGTTGACAGGTCCCAACACAGTCCACGCGCTGCAGCCGCTGCACTGCACATGGGCACTGGAGCAGCAGCT